TCCATAGTCTATGATCCATAGCCACAGTCCATAGTCCACAGTCCATAGTCCACAGTCCATAGTCTATGTCCATAGTCTACAGTCCATAGTCCATAGTCTATGATCCATAGTCCACAGTCCATAGTCCATAGTCTATGATGATCCATAGTCTACAGTCCATAGTCTATGATCCATAGTCCACAGTCCATAGTCCATAGTCCATAGTCCATAGTCTATGTCCATAGTCACAGTCCAGTCCATATCTATGTCCATAGTCCATACAGTCCATAGTCCACTAATCCCATATCCATAGTCCACAGTCCATAGTCTATGATCCATAGTCCACAGTCCATAGTCCACGTATAGTCCATATGATCCATAGTCCACAGTCCATAGTCCACAGTCCATAGTCCATAGTCTATGATCCATAGTCCACAGTCCATAATCCACAGTCCATAGTCTATGATCCATAGTCCACAGTCCATAGTCCACAGTCCATAGTCCATGTCTATGCTCCATAGTCTACAGTCCCATAGTCTATGATCCAGTCCATAGTCCATAGTCCATAGTCTATGATCCATAGTCCACAGTCCATAGTCCATATGATCCATAGTCCACAGTCCATAGTCTATGATCCATAGTCCACAGTCCATAGTCCACAGTCTATAGTCCATAGTCTATGATCCATAGTCCACATCCATAGTCCACAGTCCATAGTCTATGATCCATAGTCCACAGTCCATAGTCCATAGTCCATAGTCCATAGTCCATGATCCATAGTCCACAGTCCATAATCCACAGTCCATAGTCTATGATCCATAGTCCATAGTCCATCAGTCATAGTCATAGTCCACATGTCAGTCCATAGTCTATAGTCCATAGTCCTATGTCCATAGTCCACAGTCCCATAGTCTATGATCCATAGTCCACAGTCCATAGTCTAGTCCATAGTCCATGAGTCCATAGTCTACAGTCCATAGTCCACAGTCCATAGTCTATGATCCATAGTCCACAGTCCATAGTCCATAGTCCACAGTCCATAGTCCATAGTCTATGATCCATAGTCCACAGTCCATAGTCCACAGTCCATAGTCTATGATCCATAGTCCACAGTCCATAGTCCACAGTCCATAGTCTATGATCCATAGTCCACAGTCCATAGTCCACTCAGTCCATAGTCTATGTCCATAGTCCACAGTCCATAGTCCACAGTCCATAGTCTATGATCCATAGTCTACAGTCCATAGTTCACAGTCCATTTTAGGAATGTTCTAGAGAGCAACCTTCTAACAAGAAGTCAGATCACAGCAGCAAAAAAGAAGAAAAATAGAATCTGGAGATTTGGAGGAGGCTGAGAGCGATGGAAGGGACTTTTCTGCAGAAGAATACACCCAGCACCCAGCGCGGGGCCCTCAGGAAGATGAGGTCCGTATTCATATATATATATTGTGGCTGGGCTGGTATGATGGTCTAGCTGGGAGGAATGGAATTTTGAGGACAATCTTCTGATGGACAGTAGAAGTATCCTACAGGTATGTCTGGTTATACTTTGACGCGTACCGCAGGATGCCTGGACTGACCCCGCAGCCTCACAGGGCACGGAAGGGACGCACACGCAACTGAAACCCACAACGATACGGGTGTTTATCTTCTACCAGATCCGGAAATGAAAGGGTTAAACCATTATCCTCGGCTGTATCTGAGCAACAGTTACCTTCAGGATGGTACATCCTCCTCTATGGAGACAGCGAGCGCCGCGCAAAGCGTGAAATGCACCCGGCCCGGGAAATGAATCCCATGGAAGGAATGCGATTTATCAATAAGTGAAAAGCTGTAATGGATCAGCAGCAGTAGGCGGGGGGAAAATTAACAGCATTTTCTCCAGTCTTCAGACCGCGGGGAGGACTTCTTATTGCTGGAAACTCGGTGTGAAGTGATTAATGGTCTGAGGATAGTGCTACCGAGTGAGAAGAGGGGAGAGTGAAATGCAGCAATGGAGGATGACAAACTGGGGTGGGGGGAGGGAGGGAGAGAGGGGAGCAGAGGAGAGGGGAGGAGAGAAGGGGAGAGGAGAGAGGAGAGGGGAAGGAGAGGAGAGGGAGAGAGAGGGGAGCAGAGGAGAGGGGAGGAGAGAAGGGGAGAGGAGAGGAGAGGAGAGGGGAAGGAGAGGAGAGGAGAGGGGGAGCAGAGGAGAGGGGAGGAGAGAAGGGGGAGGGGAGAGGAGGGGAGGGAGAGGGAGAGGAGAGGGGAAGGAGGGGAGAGGAGAGAGGGGAGCAGAGGAGAGGGGAGGAGAGGAGGGGAGAGGAGAGGGGAGGAAAAGGACAGATGAGAGGAGAGGAGGGGGAGGGGAGAGGAGAGCAGAAGGAGAGGAGGGGAGAGGAGAGAGGGGAGCAAGAGGAGAGAAGAGGAGGAGGGGAGGAGGAGGGGAGGGAGAGGAGAGGAGAGAGGGGAAGGAGGGGGGAGAGGAGAGAGGGGGAGAGAGGAGAGGGGAGGAGAGAGGAGGAGGGGAGAGGAGAGGCGGGAAGGGGAAGAGGAGAGGAGGGGAGAGGAGAGAGGAGGAGAGGAGAGAGTTTCATTTATTAATAAATCACCTTCACTGCATGATGACACCCACAGAATGGTCTGTAAATGACACCCCGTGTACGCTCTGCCCCTACGTGTACGCTCTGCCCCTACGCGTGCGCTCTGCCCCTACGTGTATGCTCTGCCCCTACGTGTACGCTCTGCCCTACGCGTGCGCTCTGCCCCTACGTGTGCGCTCTGCCCCTACGTGTGCGCTCTGCCCCTACGCGTGCGCTCTGCCCCTACGTGTGCGCTGTGTCCCTACGTGTACGCTCTGCCCTACGTGTACGCTCTGCCCCTACGCGTGCGCTATGCCCCTACGTGTGCGCTGTGTCCCTACGTGTATGCTCTGCCCCTACGTGTACGCTCTGCCCCTACGTGTGCGCTCTGCCCCTACGCGTGCGCTCTGCCCCTACGCGTGCGCTCTGCCCCTATTGCGCAGACACCGCGCGTCTGGCCGATGCTCCTCCCCTCAGTGGCAATATATTTCCTTAGAATTGGCAGTATCGGCCGCAGACCGCGTTGTCTCTGATTTCAGGAAATGGCAGTTACAGATAGACATGAATAACATTGTTACCTCCAACAACCAATCAAGTGCGTGCTTTCATGGAAAATGACAGACGAATGGCAGCAGGGTTGAGAAAAGTTCCAGCTGCATTCTAATTGGCTGCTTTTAGCCCCCAGTAAGTGGCATGCCAAACATCACCTCTCCCCTATTAAAACCGTTCTTTTTTCAGCAGATCCCTAATTAGGTCCTCACATATATTAGGAGACTTCAGATATTCTGTAATTAATGAGCGTGTCTGGAGTCCGAGGCTCTGCGCATTCATTGTTCCTCCAGGCATAATGGATTCTATTCTACACCCCGGTGAAGACTCTGAATGGGGCTCTATGGCTGGAGAGTGAATGAGATCTGGAGGTAAGTAGATCAAAGTGTGGTGCTGGTGAAAGACGGCCCAATAAATGTAAGGCGTGATCTTGCTTGGGGTTAGAAGGCCATTGGCTGCATGGCGGGAGGCGATAACGGACGCGGTGGAAGGTGCTTGTCAAGTCAATAAAGATTTATTAGATCTGCAGAGAATAACGGACAGAAATCACCAAGATGGCAAAGTTTTGGCCAACATCTGAGCCTCTGGTGCTTCTACAACGTGTCTTCCCTTGGAGATCCAGTGTATAGTAGACGTAGAGTTCTTCCATCAAAGGGATCCTCTATGCCACCTTCCTTGTAACATTCTGAAATACAATCTGAAGACCTAAAATACAATGTCCAATGCTGGGTAGTATTGATGTCCTCCAGCTTCCGAGATCATCGGATCTCCACTGACCATAGACAATCAAGTCCATCTCATGTGTCGGGGGGACCAGTACTCTTTGTTGATGAGTCCAGGAAGATCTCAGAGGTAAGACTGAGGATGAATGAGCAGAGGAGAGGCTGCTGGGTAACATTCCAAGATCCTGAGGCCTGCAGGTCCAAAACTCGGCCAGGATGAGATGGGGTGAGATACAGGATTTGTGTATAAAGTGAACCTCACCTTAGTGAAGCGGCTCTGACAGCGAAACACACAAGTGAGACTTGTCCATGGAGCCGCTTTATCTACTGAACACTGTAAAGCAGCTGATAGAATCTTCTCATCTCCCCACCCTTTCCGGCTCATTAGATGTACAGCATAAGGACAATGACAACACTTTCATCTCAATTATTTCCCGACCATTCCCTCTTCCCGTCCCAGTTCTCAAATGCTAGCGACTTGTGATGTCCAACTTGAGCTTCCACCTTCCAGGAGCCCACTTAACAATCACCTCCTCCCATCTTTCAGCTCACAAAGCAGACACACCCATACACAGCCTGATTTCAGCTTTCAGTTGGTTTGTGATAACTCAATATCTACTCAAATTCCACATAATGTTACCAGCTAGGCGGACAGAATTCCACAGAACCTTAGTGTTCCTCTACAGTGTGATAGGGGTTCCGTGAGCAATCAGCAAAGTCTGCCTTACATAAGTCACCGTTGACACCAATTATCTTTTTATATATCTGTAAGGAACATTCTTCCCACTGACCACCAATGTAAGGAACATTCTTCCCACTGACCACCAATGTAAGGAACATTCTTCCCACTGACCCCCAATGTAAGGGACATTCTTCCCACTGACCCCCAAAGTAAGGGACATTCTTCCCACTGACCCCAATGTAAGGGAACATTCTTCCCACTGACCACCAATGTAAGGGACATTCTTCCCACTGACCCCCCAATGTAAGGGACATTTTCTTCCCACTGACCCCCAATGTAAGGGACATTCTTCCCACTGACCCCCAATGTAAGGGACATTCTTCCCACTGACCCCCCAATGTAAGGGACATTTCCCACTGACCCCCAATGTAAGGGACATTCTTCCCACTGATCATCAATGTAAGGACGAACATTCTTCCCACTGACCCCCCAATGTAAGGGACATTCTTCCACTGACCACCAATGTAAGGGACATTCTTCCCACTGACCACCAATGTAAGGAACATTCTTCCCACTGACCCCCCAATGTAAGGGACATTCTTCCCACTGACACCCCAATGTAAGGAACATTCTTCCCACTGACCCCAATGTAAGGGACATTCTTCCCACTGACCCCCAATGTAAGGGACATTCTTCCACTGACCCCCCAATGTAAGGGACATTCTTCCCACTGACCCCCAATGTAAGGGACATTCTTCCCACTGACCCCCCAATGTAAGGGACATTCTTCCCACTGACCCCCATTGTAAGGACATTCTTCCCACTGATCACCCCAATGTAAGGGACCCATTCTTCCCAATGAAGGGACATTCTTCCCCCCCAATGTAAGGGACATTCTTCCCACTGACCACCAATGTAAGGGGACATTCTTCCCACTGACCCCCAATGTAAGGGACATTCTTCCCACTGACCCCAATGTAAGGGACATTCTTCCACTGACCCCAATGTAAGGGACATTCTTCACCACTGACCACCAATGTAAGGGACATTCTTCCCACTGACCACCAATGTAAGGGACATTCTTCCACTGACCACCAATGTAAGGGACATTCTTCCCACTGACCCCCAATGTAAGGGACATTCTTCCCACTGACCCCCAATGTAAGGGAACATTCTTCCCACTGACCCCCCAATGTAAGGGACATTCTTCCCACTGACCACCAATGTAAAGGTACATTCTTCCCACTGAACACCCCCCAATGTAAGGGACATTCTTCCCACTGACCACCAATGTAAGGGACATTCTTCCCACTGACCCCCAATGTAAGGGACATTCTTCCCACTGACCCCAATGTAAGGGGACATTCTTCCCACTGACCCCCAATGTAAGGGACATTCTTCCCACTGAACACTGTACCCCAATGACCCCAATGGGGACATTCTTCCCACTGACCACCAATGTAAGGGACGTTCTTCTTACTGACCCCCAATGTAAGGGATATTCTTCCCACTGACCCCCAATGTAAGGGGACATTCTTCCCACTGACCCCAATGTAAGGGACATTCTTCCCACTGACCCCCAATGTAAGGGACATTCTTCCCACTGACCACCCCAATGTAAGGGACATTCTTCCCACTGACCCCCAATGTAAGGGACATTCTTCCCACTGACCACCCAATGTAAGGGGACATTCTTCCCACTGACCCCCAATGTAAGGGACATTCTTCCCACTGACCCCCCAATGTAAGGGACATTTCTTCCCACTGACCCCATGACCCCCTCAATGTAAGGGACATTCTTCCCACTGATCACCAATGTAAGGGACATTCTTCCCAACATTCCCACTGACCCCCCCCCCCCCATGTAAGGGACATTCTTCCCACTGACCCCCCAATGTAAGGGACATTCTTCCCACTGACCCCCAATGTAAGGGACATTCTTCCCACTGACCCCAATGTAAGGGACATTTCTTCCCACTGACCCCAATGTAAGGGACATTCTTCCCACTGACCCCCCCCCCAATGTAAGGGACATTCTTCCCACTGACCCCCCCCCCCCAATGTAAGGGACAATTCTTCCCACTGACCCCCCAATGTAAGGGACATTCTTCCCACTGACCCCAATGTAAGGGACATTCTTCCACTGACCCAATGTAAGGACATTCTTCCCACTGATCACCAATGTAAGGGACATTCTTCCCACTGACCCCCCAATGTAAGGGATGTTCTTCCCACTGACCTCCAATGTAAGGGACATTCTTCCCACTGACCCCCCCCCCAATGTAAGGGACATTCTTCCCACTGACCCCAATGTAAGGGACATCTTCCCACCGACCCCCAATGTAAGGGACATTCTTCCCACTGACCCCCAATGTAAGGGACATTCTTCCCACTGACCCCCAATGTAAGGGACATTCTTCCCACTGACCCCCAATGTAAGGGACATTCTTCCCACTGACCCCCCAATGTAAGGGACATTCTTCCCACTGACCCCCCCCCCAATGTAAGGGACATTCTTCCCACTGACCCCCAATGTAGGGACATTCTTCCCACTGACCCCCCAATGTAAGGGACATTCTTCCCACCGACCCAATGTAAGGGGACATTCTTCCCACTGACCCCCAATGTAAAGGACATTCCTCCCACTGACCCCCAATGTAAGGGACATTCTTCCCACTGACCCCCAATGTAAGGGACATTCTTCCCACTGACCCCAATGTAAGGGGCATTTACTTCCATGGACCACCAATGTAAGGGACATTCTTCCCACTGACCCCCCAATGTAAGGGACATTCTTCCCACTGACCCCCAATGTAAGGGGCATTCTTCCCACTGACCCCCATGTAAGGGACATTCTTCCCACTGACCCCCAATGTAAGGGACATTCTTCCACTGATCACCCAATGTAAGGGACATTCTTCCCACTGACCCCCAATGTAAGGGGACATTCTTCCCACCGACCCCCAATGTAAGGGACATTCTTCCCACTGACCCCCAATGTAAGGGACGTTCTTCCCACCGACCCCCAATGTAAGGGACATTCCTCCCACTGACCCCCAATGTAAGGGACATTCTTCCCACTGACCCCCAATGTAAGGGACATTCTTCCCACTGGACCACCAATGTAAGGGACATTCTTCCCACTGACCCCAATGTAAGGGACATTCTTCCCACTGACCCCCAATGTAAGGGGCATTCCTCCCACTGACCCCCCCAATATAAGGGGCATTCTTCCCACTGACCCCCAATGTAAGGGACATTCCTCCCACTGACCCCCCCCAATGTAAGGGGCATTCTTCCCACTGATCACCAATGTAAGGGGGACATTCTTCCCACTGACCCCCCCAATGTAAGGGGCATTCTCCCACTGACCCCCCCAATGTAAGGGGCATTCCTCCCACTGACCCCCCCAATGTAAGGGGCATTCCTCCCATGGACCATCGCAGTCATGTACGAGGATCTCTGGGACTGGAAAGCTATTTGAAGGGTTCCTCCATGTATACAAAGGCTGAGCTCAGCTGATGACTTTGAAGGAATATCTGTCTCTGTTTCTGATTGGATACAGAATATCTTGTTCAGCGATTACATTCTGATACAATTGTAACAATTTCTCCCAGTGAACTCTGACATGATATTTGTTCCTCTTCACACAACGAATCTTCCTGACCGCATAGGACATAGAAAGTTGCAGCTGCGCCCTCTAGTGGTTACCTGTGTTGCACAAAGTTCAGTCAGCATCCTTGCTGAATGGATGTTGCACTACAATCAATTAAAGGAGAAACCCCCAGAACCACACATCTACATTCCACAGAGGAGGATCTGTGTCCACAGAGTGACACGGCAACAGGACGCAGGGAAGCGCATGCAATGCGTTGCAGTATTAAAGTATGTAAAGATCCGGAATAAAATGGCCGCATCAGTGATCTCCTATCATTAGAGAATGTGATCGGGAACAGTGTACAGGATCAACACAGATAGAGGGATGGGTGGATGGATGGATGGGTGAGTGATGGATGAGTGGATGGGTGAGTGGATGGGTGTGGTGGATGGGTGGATGGGTAGGTGGATGGGTGGGTAGGATGGATGGGTGGGTGGATGGATGGATGGATGGATGGATGGATGGATGGATGATGGATGGGTGAGTGGATGGATGGGTGGATGTGGATGGATGGGTGAGTGGATGGATGGGTGGTGGATGGATGGTGATGGATGGGTGGATGGGTGGGTGGATGGGGTAGGTGGATGGATGGGTGGGTGGATGGATGGATGGATGGATGGGTGAGTGAGTGGATGGATGGATGGATGGATGGGTGATGGATGGATGGATGGATGGGTAGGTAGATGGGTGGGTGGATGGATGGATGGATGGATGGATGGGTGGGTGAGTGGATGGATGGATGGGTGAGTGGATGGATGGATGGGTGAGTGGATGGGTGGGTGGATGGATGGGCCAGAGAAAAGCGAATCTCAGCGTTGGATGACGGAGCACAGACAGTCTCCTGTATTTCTGTGACTCTGCAGGTCTCAGGTCAGCACTCTGCCTTGTCCTCCACCTGGGGGATTGGGAACACCCCAGAGAGGGAGGGAGAGAACACCCCATAGAGGGAGGATTGGAACACCCCAAGAGAGGAGGATTGGGAACACCCCAAGAGAGGAGGATTGGGAACACCCAGGAAGGAAGGGAGAGAACACCCCAGGGGGAGAGAGGATTGTGAAACATCCCAGGAGAGGAGGATTGGGAACACCCCAGGGAGGGAGGGAGAGAACACCCTAGGAGGGGGGGGGGGGGGGGGGGGGGGGGGGTGGGGGGGTGGGGGGGGGGGGGGGGGGGGGGGGGGGGGTGGGGGGGGGGGGGGGGGGGGGGGGGGGGGGGGGGGGGGGGGGGGGGGGGGGAGAGGATTGTGAACACCCCAGGAGAGGAGGATTGGGAACACCCCAGGGAGGGAGGGAGAGAACAACCTAGGGAGAGAGGATTGTGAACACCCAGGAGAGGAAGATTGGAAACACCCCAGGAGAGGAAGATTGGGAACACCCCAGGAAAGGAGGATTGGAAACACCCCAGGGAGAGAACACCCCAGGGATTGAGGATTGGGAACACCCCAGGGAAGGAGGATTGGGAACACCCCAGGGAGGAGGATTGGAAACACCCCAGGGGAGGGAGAGAACACCCCAGGGATTGAGGATTGGGAACACCCCAGGGAAGGAGGATTGGGAACACCCCAGGAAAGGAGGATTGGGAACACCCCAGGGAGGGAGGAAGATTACAAGGCCAGGAACTGAGGTGTGGGGATCTCTTTGATCGACTCCCCAAGAGTTTTAGGAGCCAACTAGTGACTCTGCCCAGCAGACTAAACCAGAAGCTATGACTTTGGGGTGAGGTGACCCGTAACTTCCAGCCCGGAACGCTCGCTGCGTGTTGTTGTGTCATCATCGCTCCTCGCCGAGATCTCCTGCAGGGATATTAGTACAGAACTGACTGAATGGGATCTGGGACTGAGCCTCGTCTCCGGGGACCCTGCAGGTGTTCAGCAGGTGAGATCCCATCCTCAGGAAGCTGACTACTAGGCTCACAATTCATCATCCGTGACACGGCCTCTTCCACATGGGATCCTCCCGACTCCGCCTCTCATCTCCCACAAGGGGCAGGGAAGCTTCCCTCTCCTAGAAATCTCCTCTCCAGAGATTGATGGATCACAAAATTCAACAAAAAATCTGATGATGGCGAGAAGAACCTTTGTGTGTCCCAGAATTCATGGATGAATGTTTCCTCCGACATTTCCTGGGATCTCATGGAATCCCATTGTGCAGCCCCCCCTCCCCCATCCCCTCTACACACACTACAAGAGATAACAAGGAGCCACATAGAAAGGTCTGATCACAGAAAGTGTGGGCTGGGGTTAGCAGTGCGCTCCCAGTGCCCCCAGTGCTCCCAGTGCCCCCAGTGCCCCCAGTGTTCCCAGTACTCCCAGTGCCCCCAGTGCTCCCAGTGCCCCCAGTGCCCCAGTGTTCCCAGTACTCCCAGTGCCCCCCAGTGCTCCCAGTGCCCCCAGTGCCCCCAGTGTTCCCAGTACTCCCCAGTGTTCCCAGTGCCCCCAGTGCTCCCAGTGCTCCCAGTGCCCCTAGTGCCCCCAGTGCTCCCAGTGTTCCCAGTGCTCCCAGTGCCCCCAGTGTTCCTAGTGCCCCCAGTGTTCCTAGTGCCCCCAGTGCTCCTAGTGCCCCCAGTGCTCCCAGTGTTCCCAGTGCTCCCAGTGCCCCTAGTGCTCCTAGTGCCCCCAGTGCTCCCAGTGTTCCCAGTGCTCCCAGTGCCCCCAGTGTTCCCAGTGTTCCCAGTGCCCCCAGTGCCCCAGTGTTCCCAGTGCCCCCAGTGCTCCCAGTGTTCCCAGTGCCCCTAGTGCCCCCAGTGTTCCCAGTGCCCCCAGTGCTCCTAGTGCCCCAGTGCTCCCAGTGCCCCCAGTGTTCCCAGTGCCCCTAGTGCTCCTAGTGCCCCCAGTGCTCCCAGTGCCCCCAGTGTTCAAAGTGCCCCCAGTGCTCCCAGTGTTGCCAGTGCCCCAGTGTTCCCAGTGCCCCCAGTGCTCCTAGTGCCCCCAGTGCTCCCAGTGTTCCCAGTGCCCCCCAGTGCCCCAGTGTTCCCAGTGCCCCTAGTGCTCCTAGTGCCCCCAGTGCTCCCAGTGTTCCCAGTGCTCCCAGTGCCCCAGTGTTCCCAGTGCCCCCAGTGCCCCCAGTGCCCCTAGTGCCCCAGTGCCCCCAGTGCTCCCAGTGCTGCTCTTCTGTGCTGGTTGCTCTCAGCTGTGCACTGGATGTTATGCTGTAGCAGGCAGAGGGAAGCTGGTTATTGGCTGGGAGTAAAAGCAATATAATGAGAATCAGCCTATAGGTGTGTGTACCCCCCCTCCACTATGTGTATGTACCCCCCCCCTCCACTATGTGTATGTACCCCCCCCCTCCA